CAAGCTGTCACCCTGGGTAGAGTGCTATGGCATCCCAGCTCACAGCAACCTCCAACTCCTGGGCTTAAGCTAGTCTCCTGCCTCAGCCTCCCAAGTAGCTAGGACCACAGGCGCCCGCCACACTGCCCAGCTATTCATTGTTGTTTGGTGGGCCAGGCTGGATTCGAACCCGCCACCTTAGGTGTATGTGGCTGGCGCCTTAGCCACTTGAGCCACAGGCGCTGAGCCCCAAGTGGACTTCTGAGGGAAGAACATTCTAGGGAAAGGACAGCACAAGCGCAAAGGCCTGAGACAGGAGCTTAAATCCTGAGCCCCAGGATTTAAGGAAGCCAGTGTTGGGGAAGCGGGGGAGAGCAGTGAGCAAGGAAGAGAATGATAGGAACTCAAGAGAACTACCCCAGAAGTTAGGTCTTTGGGGCTGAAAGTAAGGACTTTGGACCTTTTTTGGTTCGTTTTCTTGTTTGTTTTGGTTTCGCTTTCTTCTTTCCACTCTAGCCTCCCAAGTAGCTATAACTATAGGCAGGCATCACTATGCTCAGCTAATTTTGTTGTTGTTTTTTTTTTTTTTTTTGCCGGGACTGGGTTTGAATCCACCACCTCTGGCATATGGGGCCGGCGCCCTACCCTTTTGAACCACAGGCTCCACAAGCCTTAAACACCTTGATTCAAGGAATTCCCCAGCCTCAGCTTTCCAAATTGCTGGAATTACAGGCGGAAACCATCATGACTGGCCAGGATTTTGAATTTAATTTAAATGTTAGGGAATTTATCACATGATTCTGAGGGGGGGAGGGGTGATCTGATTTACATTTCTAATGTAAAGAGTTGCTCTGGCTACTAAGTAAAAAAAAACAAATGTAGGAAGAGACTATCTTGGAAGGTCAGAGACCACTTAGGAGAGGTTGCAGAGTGCCAGGTGAAAGGTGGTAATAGCTTGGACTCTGGGTGGAAATGTGAGAGGTAGCTGGATTTCAGGAAACATTTTAAAGATCTAAAGGAAGGATGTTACATGCAGAGAAAATAGCATGTGTAAAAACCTTGAGAGTAAACAAAACATTGGAAACTTTGCTTTTATATTATATGCAATTTTCCTCTGTCCTTTTTATTTTTATCTGGTGTGTCTTATATTTGAGCTCCTAAAAGCTGGGATTTAGATAGACCCAGCAACTTTGCACATAGTAAAATGTTCAGTTGGGCGTTAAAAAAAAAAAAAAAAAAGGAGGGGGTAGTGAAGAAGAGGAAAAAAAAAACCACTAGTAGAAAAAAGTATTTTCCTTAGACTTATGGTTCCCTTCCAGGTTCACAGTCTTTTGTGAAAACCATAGCAATGTGCCCAGAGAGCAGAAGCCTTCCCTCTAACTGTTCCCAAGATCAAACAGATAATGGCAGCTCTACAACACAGATCGCTTAGCCATGGATCTTTTTTGTTGTTGTTATTGTTCAATTCTTTTAATATATTTTTAAATTGGGATTCACTAAGGGTACAAAGAATTAGGTTACACTAATTGCATTTGTTAGGTAAATACCCTCTTATAATTGTGTCCCACCCCCAGAGGTGGAGAGGTGTGTCATATGCTGTGACTACCCCAATCCTCTCCCTCCTCCCCTCTCCCTGCTCCCTCATCCCTACATTCCCCATCATGTATTAGATCATCCGTTGTCTTCATATTAGAATTGAGTGTGTTAGATTCTTGGTTCTCCATTCTTGTGATACTTTACTAAGAAGAATACATTCTACCTCAGTCCAGGTTAACACAAAACACATAAAAATCTCCAGCTCTTTCAATGGCAAAAAAGTCATATATCATGATCAAGTAGGTTTCATCCCAGGAATGCAAAGACGGTTTAACATATGCAAGTCCATAAACATAATTCACCATATCAACAGAAGCAAAAACAAAGACCATCCTCTCGATAGATGCAGAAAAGGCATTTTATAAAATTCACCATCCTTTTCTAATTAGAACACTTGAGAATATAGGCATAGGTGGCACATTTCTTAAACTGATTGAAGCCACCTACAACAAACCTGCAGCTAATGTTAGACTGAATGGAGTAAAACTGAAAGCTTTTCCACTTAGAACTGGAACCAGACAAGTTGTCCTCTATTACCACTACCATTTAACATAGTGCTGGAAGTTCTAGCCAATATAATCAGGCAAGAAAAAGAAAAAAAGGGCATTGAAATGGGGGCAGAGGGCTCCAAAGAGGGCTCTCCCTCTTTGCTGACCATATGATCTTATACTTAGAGAACCCCAAGACTCAACCACAAGACTCCCAGAAGTGCAATATAGTAATGTCTCAGGATATAAAAGCCATGGATTTTTTAAAAGATGCTCGTAGGTTGTTTAAAGGCAGGGCATGGTGACTCACACCTGTAATCCTAGCACTCTGGAGGCATGTGGATTGCTTGATCTCAGGAGTTCAAAACCAACCTGAGCTAGAGTGAGACCCCGTCTCTAAAAAATAGTTGGGTGTTGTGGTGGGTGCCTATAGTCCCAGCTAATTGGGAGGCTGAGATAAGAGGATCACTTGAGCCCAGAGTTTGAGGTTGCTGTGAGTTATGATGCCATGGGACTCTACCAAGGGTGACAAAGTGAGACTCTGTCTCAAAAAAAAAAAAGATGCTCATGCCCAAAGCCTCACTGCTGACTAGTGACATCAGAATCTCTGGGGATGTACCTGTGTCTTGGATCCTTTTTTCCTTAACTCCCCAGGTGATTCTAACATTCAGACAGGGGTGAGAACCTCTGGGTTCTGTATGTAGCATGCTGCATTCTCTATAAAGGATATGAAAGAAGTTGTCCCCTGCTGTGGGAACACATAGTAGTTGGTTCTATAGTCTCAAGGCATTGTCCAGAAGAGAAAACTGTATGCCTGGATGCTGAGATACTTTATTTGTTCCTGTTCTTTTTAAATTTTCAGATCTTTCTTACTGTCACAGCTGATCTGAACTGTAACCTGTTCTCCAAAGAGCAGAGGGCACACATAACCACTCTCTGCCCTAATGTCAGAAAAATGGAGGGCCGCAATGGAATTGAGAAGGTGTATGGTGACTTCCAAGATATTGAAAAAATATATCACTTCTTGAGTGAGAAGTTCCTAGAAAGTGAGCAGAAACATGAATCAAAAATGGAAAGGAAGAAGGTACTCAAGGAGCAAGATTGGAACAGCTACGTTTCTCTTGAACCAGAAACCAAGTCAGAAGAGCAGAAAGATAAATATTCATTTTCAAAAATGGAAAGGGAGAAGGCAATCATGAAGCAAAATTGGAACAGCAACATTTCTCCTTCTGTGCCAGAAACTAAGTCAGAAGAAAAAGGCAATGGTTTTGAAGTTCCCTTGACTTTGTTTGAATACTTCAAATTTACCCATCCTGATAAAATAGACTCAATAGAGAAAAAATTCGATATAAACATCAAAATCCAGGAGCCTTCTCCAAATATGGTCTCTATAGACTTCATTACAAGTGGATCAGGTAACCTAGAAGCAGCTCGTGAGTCTTTTGTTAATGAATTCCAGAAGAACGTAGAAGGTCTGAAGCAAGAATGTTTCTCTTTAGCAAATAGTAAGCAGGCAAATAAAATCAAACAGAAATTGAATCTCCAGTTTACAAAACTCCTTATAAAGGAGAAAGGAAAAGAATTAACTCTCCTTGGGACCCAAAATGACATTTCAGCTGCCAAACAAAAAATCTCAGAAGCTCTTGTCAAGACACCTGTGACAATATTGACTAAAGGTTGCATGACCAATGGAATTGAGGTTGACACGGATCGCTTTAAACTTTTAGAAGCTGAATTACTCCAGGAGATATCAGAGATAGAGAAAAGGTATGACACTAGCAGTAAGGTTTCAGGAAAAAAGCAAAAAATCCACATTCTATTTGAACCTAACAACCAGCAGGTAGATCTATCTGTGCATGCTTATGCAAGTTTCATTGATGCCTTTCAGCATGCCTCGTGCCAGCTGATGAGAGAAGTTCTTTCACTGAAACTGTTGAACAAGGAGAGAAAGCACTTATATGGGACCAAGTTTGCTGATGACTTTAGAACAAAGTATCCAAATATACACTTTGTGCAAAGTAAAGAGTCAGTGACTTTGACTGGTTTGCCAAATCACCTTGCAAAGGCAAAACAGTATATCTTAAAAGAAGGGGGAATGTCTCCAGTGGCTGGAGAGAAATTGAAGGAGGATCACGAAACACCCATGGACATTGATAGTAATGATTCAAAAGCAGATTCCCTCTCATTCAAAGGCTCTGTGAGATCTGAGGCTTCAGAAGTTCACAAGAAGGAAAAGGACATCTGCGTCATCTGTATGGACACCATTAAGAACAAACAAGTACTACCAAAGTGCAAGCATGAATTCTGTGCCGCTTGTATCAACAAATCCATGTCATATAAGCCAATTTGCCCTACATGTCAGACTTCATATGGTACCCAGAGAGGAAATCAGCCAGATGGAAGCATGCATGTCACTACGTCACCACGGTCACTTCCAGGCTATGAATCCTGTGGCACCATTGTGATTACTTATATTATGAATGCAGGTGTACAAACAGTAAGTGTTTTGGAGGCCCCTGGGTTTCTTTCCATTATCTTAGAGATTACCAGAGCAAAAGAGACTGTCCTGTTGACTCTTGGCCCCTGGATTTCCCAGGGACCCAGGGAATTATTTCCATGGTCAAATGCAAGTATTGGGATAATGGTAAGGTCACTGTGTTTGCTTATTACTTAGGTATCTGTTGTGTCTTATTTATTTATTTATTTGCAGTTTTTGCTGGGTTTGAACCAGCCACCTCTGGCACATGGGGCCAGCGCCTTACTCCTTTGAGCCACAGGTACCGCCCGTGTTGTATCTATTTTTTAAGGCAGAAAAACGGTGGGTGGAGATTCTGCCTTAAGATTAGGGAAGGGGAAATAAGAAAAGTGGATACTGTTCCTGGCATCCAGGAGAAAGGAGAAATTTGAATTACTGGGAATATGGGCAAAACTTCAATACTTTTCTCTATCTACAAATGAACATACTTGTACATATAGTACAATTTAAATAGGGGACTGTTTTCACATGACATTTTCTTGCTTTCATACAGGAAGA